CAAGTTTACATTATAAATACGTTGTAAGCGGGATATGGCAGGTACGCGCAATTGCTTAGTCAGATCTTCGCGCAGTAATATGATCTCCATTACACGTGTCAGCCTTATACCATCTCTTAGGTCTACCGCAAGATTTTGAAATGCGTAATTAAATTCGTCTAAGAAACATTGCTTATGCTCTAAGACATAACCCAGGCGCTTCAAATCACGTGTTATGTCACCCATATTTGCAAGTAGCTCAGATGAGAATTTTAATAGAATTTCTTTTGTTTCCTTATGAGGTGATTTTTTGACAAAGAGGCATGGATTGTATTTGATAATGCGCTTTTGCTTCGCTTTATCAAGGAATAGTAGCAAACAAAGCATTTTAGTCAACGTATACTTTTTTATATACTGAGCATATTCGTCAGATAGTGAATATGCACGTGAATATTTCTCTTCTAAAAGTTTGTCCCGAAACAACCGATTCAGTATAAAGGTGCTCAGTCCAATAATGTCGCTATTTGACCGCAAATGAATTTTTTCACCATAAACAACCTCTAAGCCTATACGCAGCCACATCGGATTAAAGCATAGCAACAGTTCTAATATGTAGCGCTGCATCACTACATCAAGGTGTAAATTTCTATCGTTTCGTATGCGTATAGCATTTTTATTTACATATACAGCTACTTTAGAACAAGGTTCACGAACTTCATCGCTTAGGTACAAGTAGACAGCAGCACGTCGAACTACCTCAAGTCTGTGTTGCACAAGATAATCCATAGACTGCTCTTCTTTGGTGGGTGCTAACGTCAATTCCTTGTGACGCACCTCATTAAAAAGTTTACCAACATCGATTTTAGCATCGCTATTGGCATCCATATCGGCCGGTATTGTAACCAATGCATTCAACCACTTTTTAAAATCATGTTGATGCCTCTGAACGGCCGCTTCGTCTAAGTACATTGTGCAAGCAAGAAAAGGATCACATGTTGTACTAGCAGCAAAAGGATCGGGATTGATGCACAACTGTAGATATAATTCTGGATCATATAATTTTTCAGTTTCGCGCGATAAGATTGTAGATTGAATATTTGGCGGCATTATTTTTTGTGGTGTGGTGGATTTCATTATTCTTACTTTTTTCACCTGGGTGTGTGTCCAATTCTTCGAACGAGACAAATAAGGCACCAATGGTCGCTCAAAAGCAAATTCTTTCTCCACGCGTTGACGCTTTGGAGGAGAAACTAAAATTAGGCTCATGTTTTTATTAGGAGAACCTTTTACGTACGGAGCAGAAGTAAAACAAGTTTTTGCTGTTGACTTCTCGCTTGCTGTTGTGGTCAACGATTCGTTGCTTTGTGTATCTGAACTAGATAAGTTCTGAGAATTTCTTTTCTGACCATTTGATTTTGATGGAGAAATTTCAATTAGTTTAGTTCTTGATGATTTTGGGGATACACCTCGTAAATCTCGCCATTTGCCAGAAACAGTGACTGGACTGCTCTTTCGCGATTTCAAGCCAACTTCATTTAAATTAAAACAACTTGATTGCGCTAAAATTTCACTTTGATTGAAAGCTAAATCTACGTGAGATGTTATACCGAAATCTGTGGATTCTGAAAGGGTTACTTCATTCCTATGTCGTGTCGTTCCTTTATTAACGCTTTGTTCCTGAATAACGGACATTTTTAGAGCATTTTGTGATTGAACACGATTATAAAAATATCGATTTTGCTCGATGGAACGTATAGTCTCCATTTCATTAAGGTTCGGCATTGAACCTTGACTAGCAGAATATCGTTTATTTGGAGAGCGTAATGAAAGATCCTTCATTGATTCCGAGTATTTCCTCAGTGGCGTTCCAACTAATTTTATATCCCGCAGCAAATCTTCTTCTCCCTGGACAGGACTCGATTCAGAAATTTTTCCTTCCCTATTTTTAACATATGTTTTTTCAGCTTCAACATTTTCGCAATTGGTAACGTCTTCTTCTTCTATCATCGCTAATGGTCGAGACTTGGGTGTTGTGCTGATCGTACTTGTTTTATTAAATGTCAAACCATAACTAACGGAAGCATCAAGAGCATCCGCTGACACATTCATATTTTCGTGTTTAACTTCAAAAGTTTTATTTGTTAAAATTGCATTGCCTGTAGTGTTTGGATCCACATGAAACTCAACTGTCATCCGAGTAGTATTAGTATCTTCAACCACATCAGTTGTGTCACTTACCGATGTTAAACGCCGAGGCCGCAATGTTGATAAGTTTACTTTTACAGTATCTATATTTACTGGGGTAGGCCAATTTGCTAGATTGTCCATATCGGGGTTTCTTCCAACACCACTTTTAACAGCATCGCTGTTTATTGGTGTGAATTGAATATTATCGAACATTTCAATAACATTATTAGGAGTTAAAGGACTGACATTCTCTTTGTGAGTAATGAGTACTGGCGATTTCGTTGACGAAATGGATGCTATAGTCGCATTCATAGTTTTGCTACGTGCGTATATATTTTGCTCAGTGAGAGGCGATGTATGAGTGAAGTTAATAGTTATTTCATCAAAAACTTCTCGTTTCTGTTCTCTACGCAATTTGCTATTCGAATCCACCCATGCTGATCTGGGAGGGGGAGCGCGTGTGTGTGATGTGGATGGAGCTGTTTGAGGCTTAACGGGCTTTTGAGTAATCGTTGGAACTGATTTGCGTAATTGCGTATGTGTTGAATTTACTTTATGAGATTTTGAAGTACCTGTGGGAGATTTAAGCCGCAGTGTCCTCACATAGCCGTTATGACCAGTAGAGATTGTTGGAAATTTACGCACATTCTAAAAATAAATATGAACATGTTATTTTACTCGTAACAGTTTTTTAAATTTTGTTTTATCTTTACGAAAAACAAATTCCATTTGTATGATATATAGTCTGTATTGTATGATACCATATAAAAAAAAACAAGAGTTAGTTAATATTAAATTTAAAAAATGTGTTTATTTTTTTTAACTATTGTTTATATCCAAATAAAAAAACTGTTTTCTTAGCGACTACTAACTAATGACAACTAACATTTCTGTTCTGTTTTCGGGATACAATTTAATAGATCAATTAAATATGGCTGTTTTAGAAGCTTTACGTGCGAAACGTTGGTTAACGCTTGATGCATTTAAGAATCAACTTTTACATGAGAGCATACTATTAAATCAACCCCTTTTAGGTGCATATTCAACCACCTTTTTATATGAATATATCACGTTCATATGTTTAAGTAAATATGTGTTTTTTTTTTTCTTTTTTTAAGCACCACAATTACATAAACATATTTTTTTCCAAACGTACCTTAACAGGATTGGTTATGCGAGTTTTCATTATAACCATAACATCTTTACGGAAATTTCTATTATCAAGAAGTTGCATTATTTCTTTACAAGCAACGTCCACCAAAGGGCTCCACACCATCTCCATTTCGACAGTTTTCGAACGCGGAACCGTTGTTTCAGTCCAATTTATTGATATGTTATATTCAGCATCTATAGTCCTAATGACTCTTACCTAAAACCATAATGAAAACATTGATTCAAATTAATCGCAAAAATATGTTTACACCAAGCTCGTTAAAATAAACACTTTAAATAAAGGTCAATGTAAACGTTCTAATAAAAAAAATAAGTCCCTAAATAAATTTGTATTTATTTTCATAGTGTAGGATAGTTTGGTAAGGAAAATATTTTTTTTTAAATATTGTATTGTTTACCTCTATGTCCTCTGTTGAAGGATTAACAACGCGTAGAATACGACGCGCCGTTTTCCCAATGGGCACATCTTCAAATTGCACAATAGATTTGGCAGAAAATGGAGCCATCACAACATCAGTCGGCTCACGAGATTCCACGCGCTTTTTACATTTCGGTCGTGTTGGAGTAACTACAACCTTTATAAAAGAAATCAAAAAGTATTTAATAGATCATTTCGACTTTTTTTGACCAAGATGTTAACGAACCTCAAATGCACTCATATTGTTTTATTAACTTTTACAGATAATCGTAAACTTTGAGATTTTTGTTAATATAAACTTCCCACTGAATTTTAACAAATTTAAAAGACACAAACATTAAAAAATACAATTACAAAACTATTTCACAAACCGATACTAGACGAATTAACTCAATTTACAACCGCCAAATTGAAAAATGTTTGAAGGGTTGCGCAGCTGGCATATCTCAGGGTTGTATCATGTGACACTTTAAAACAGTACAATTACAAATGTTAAAATTCCAGTGGCTTGCCAATATCAAGGACAACAATTTCTAACGTATAAGGCGTACATGGCAAATGGACATTTTTATCAAAGGAGAGAAAACATTGAAAGGGTAAAAATACTGTAAACTTCGCTTTTACCAATTTTATGCATGAATATGCGTGTAATTTTTTTGCCTCGGTTGATAATTATTATTTGATAAAACGCATTTTGTACAATAGTAGGCTCCAAAACTTTTAATCAGCTTTGTACAAACAGAGAACACAAAATTTTAAACAATATCTATAACTTTGCTTTTTTTCGCCATTTTTGCCTTTAATTAAATGTAAATAAAGAAACAAAACAGAGAACTCCCTCAATTTTGGCAAAAAAAATTTACAAATAATTATTTTAGTATAAACAGGTTTGTTTTATTACTGTTATTGTTGCTAGGTATCAGGAAGAACAAGAATATAACTTATTTCCCAACGAGTGAAATAACAAATAAGTACAAGAAACGGAAAAATGAGAAAATGAAAATGTTTTCAGTAATCACATCACATCAACACTTGAAAAGCACTAAATAGTGGCAATTAGGAGTTAAGAAACAGACAAAATATACATACATATGTGCAGTTGTATAAAAGAAATAATATTATATTATATAAGATGGTATCGGATTTCATTGCAGTTAAGCTAACATTTGTTCTTCCACGAAGTTAAATAACTATGCAAATTAACTTTCATATCGCCCGGAGATCGGTTAAAAAGCACATCTTCTATCATCCAAACTTCAAATTAAAAGAAGTGACTTTATTCCAATTCATAATATTTAAAATAAAATTATCTTAAGTTTTTATGTTAATTCTAAATTTAGGATGCATATTTCCTATTCGATAATTCTGCAAAAAAGACAACTTTTGAGTTGTTTTTTGTTAATGGATTAATTGATTTTGCGGAATTGATTCCTTTACTTTGTTTTAGTCAAAAGATCCATATCAATATATCGGGAATCAAGAGGTGGGAAAAGAAGTGAACACTGTTCATCTATTCTTATTTCAAATCACTATTATATGCATATATTTACAGCTAAATACTCTTACTTATACATATATTTATATAATATATAAATTAAAATGACATCGGGTAAGACATTATATGTACATAAAAGGGCAGAATAATTATATTTAGCAATGGAGCCTAACATTACGTGGACTCAATTAAATGAATACACGAAGACAGGTCATCAGATATTGTTATTTTAATTTTACATTAGTAACCACCTCAATGTACAATCGAACTCGGGTCTTAGCTCACATGCCATGGTTGACAACCTTTACCTTAAATTTAATACATCTTGAAATCAGCTAATCTAATCTAAAACAAATGTTTTAAAAATTGCCATTCGTTCGTCTTCTGTAGATTATCGTCGAGAACCAATTACGCGTCTCATCTTAGTTATCCTAAAGATAAAACGTAAGTAGAAGTACTGAGGACAGTTAATCAAATAACAACCTATACCTCTTCAACCAACAGTCCAGTTTTATAAACGTTATTTACAGATGGAAATTTCGTAGTGAATTTTTCTGAGCCTCTCTTATCTTATTATTACATAAGTGTGTATGTATATTGATATGAGTATGGTTCATCCAATATAGCTACATATATTGTATATGTATTTACATATATAATATGTATGTTCTTACATGTGTATGAATGTATGTATATGACGTACTTACGTCTTAATAAATATACATAATTACTAAATTAAATTTGTTGATTTTTAATATATGTATAAATTAATCTTTAATTGTAACCAAGAACCGAATCATAAGGCATATACACTCTGTAATCTCACAAATTAATTATCGAAATCGCTGCCTGTATCTGAAGCATAGTACACACTACGCATATAACCAGGAAAAGGTGTAACTGCATCTAAATCGTCTATGAGATCGTCATCTGGAGGTTCCACGGCAACAAAAGAAACAGCGAAACCACGCAAAGAGGTACTGCCATCAGTTTGAAATCTCATCAGTAAGGTATCTGTATAGGATGTTATTGTGGGTGGTTTCTGGAAATGACAGAGTAAGCAAAAGCAAGAGAGAGAGAGTAATTGTAAGAGGATGTACATTTGTATTATTGTATTAGTATTCATAATAGTAATTTAGTCTTACCCTATTGCCACAATAACGTCCATGATTGCTGTTCCGCATATACTTCTCTTCAAAAATTTCTTCTCTTATTTCCACCGCATCGTATTCGCAACGATCTGAATATTCAACTTCAAAGTGCAAAAACTTTATTTGAACACTACTCTCAGAATCAGCTTGTATTCGCCAATTACAATACATGTGACGATTGTAGACTCGACTACCATAGCGCGGATGTGAATAAAAGACTTGCGTTTCATTTGTTGCTCGTAAGTATCCGCCGCATTCTAAAAGTGAAAACAAAAACTTTACAATGATCTAAAATAGTATTACTGTTTCCATCCAACTGTTCCACATTTCTCAAGAGATTCATTAAATACTTAAAAGTAATGTTAAGTAAATGGCGACATTACATAGAACATCACTTCTTACCTGTTGAATATGTTGCCCGAAATCCTTTACGTTGCAGGGACGCATCAGTCCATAGGACCATAAACATTTCATTTGTGGATGCCACCACTGCATATGGCTCATGTCCTCCACAGTATATGCCTAATGTCGAGCTGTTCTCGGATTTGCCGTCATATAAGGCAACATAATCGTAAAAGCATTCCTACGGCCCAGCATACAACCAGAGCAAAAAACAAAATGAAAAAATAAGAATAATTGCTCCTGAGAGGTAAGTAGATGGACTAACTAACTGCTTCAGTATTTCGTTGGCTCTACTCACCTGATGATTTTCCATTTCGAATTCGTGAAATGTCAACTGCACACGGTGGCCTAAAACGGTGCTGAAGTGCCAAAAGCAGTATGTGTTACGTGGATATTCGTCTGGGAAGTTGGGGCTGTAAATGGTCCCCTTGGGGCTAGTGATTTCAAATTTGCATTTTGTCTCGGTACAATTATGTCGATTCTCGTGGACAGTGTATCCATTGCGGCAGCTGCACTTGTATGAACCAAATGTATTGAGACAATGATGTTGACAGCCTCCATTGTCAATGCTGCACTCGTCAAAATCTGTTTAGCGAAAATCTTTAATTTTTACCAAGAACAATATTGCTGGGTTTATATATAATATTTAAGTTTACAAACCAATTAATATATTTGCCGAAAAGCCGGTCCGTTGAATGTTTTTGTCTGAGTAGAATTCTAATCGCATTATGTTATGTTCGGATTTCAAAACTGGAGGCAGCTCTTGACCGCAGTAAATACCGATTTTCTTCAGACGACTATCACGTAACTTAGAGTATGCCAATAGGTAATCATAATTGCATTCAGTGTATTGATATTTCGTGCCTTCCAAATCGAAGTGTGTAAAATTAAGGAATACTGCATGATTGGATGGTGCTACCACCTCCCAAACACACTCTTTCGATATAGGATAGACATCCGGAAATGATGGTGAATGAACTGTGCTATTGGGAGTGGAGGCATTGATAATGCCGCCGCACGCATCTGAAATATAACGTCAATATTTTTAAAATTTTGCTGTTAGGAGTCAAAATATGAGGCTAGCAAAGGATTTTCCAATATGTGTACATATTCGTTATATCAAATGCTGTGTATAATACGAAAGCAAGCAAACCTTCGCAAGTACGTCCATCGGCTTGCAGCTCATAGCCAGCAAAGCAAGCGCACTGATAGCTCCCCAAAGTATTGATGCATTCGTGTTGACATCCATGGTTGGTAAATTTGCATTCATCCAACTCTTGTAGGAACACTGCAGAGAAGCCAACCTTTTGTACCGAACCATCGGAAACAAACTTTATGTACATGTGGTTTGAATTGGACCTGTGAGAATAATAAAAAAACATTTTCAAGCCGGTAATGATTAACAGTGCGGGCTTTATTTACTATACATATTGGCCAACAATTGTACTCACTTGATATTTGGCGGCAAAATATACCCACAGTAAATGCCAATTAATTGAGAATCAACGTCTTTGCCATCGCGTATTTCCACATAATCGTAAGCACAGTTATCATGATTTTCCAATTCGAATGACTGAAATTTCAGCGCGACTTGGCGGTTCTCCGGCACTGATATACGCCATGTGCATTCTCGGTCTGCGAGATATTCCAGTGGGTAGTTGGGGGAGTCGATACGTCTATTTTCGGTGAGAAAAATGTCGCCTCCACATGTGACTAAATAACAAAAATAAAACCCCCATTAGTTCTACGCCTATATTGTTTAATATTGTCTACGGAGACTTTTTCTTTTAAATCGAAAGCGCAAAAGCTTGGTCACAGATTTAATTTAAATAAGATACGAATGTACTAGAGTGTAATGTGGAAAATAATAGGTATTTTGTTTGTTTTTGATCGCGTCCAAAATCATTCAATTAAGTTTTAGTCATTCCTCTTGCAGTCCTGAACAGGGCGTATTATTTGAGCTGGCATAAGTATAACATTTGACCGCTGAATAAGTTGGGACAAATTAGTTTTAACTTGTCAAGTCATTACTTTTCATCAAGGGAGTTTTCCCCATCAGGAAAAAATGTGTTATCAAAATATGAAATTTACTATTTTTCAAACTTTAAAGATAACCAAATTGGTGATTAAAAAATAGAAATCAATAAAAAAAAATTCATTGGTAATAGTCAGCACAATAGGTAGATGTGTAAACAAGGATGCGGCGTCTATGCGACATCTGTGAAATATTACAAGAGTAAATTTCGGTGCACATAACGCTTTAGCTGAATAAGCAGGTAATATATCAAATTCATTTTCGACCTGTTTGCAATGGGAAAAAAGCATGATTATGGAATCAAAGGCCAAATTGAACATGAAAATGCAACACGTGCAAACAATCGCTTCGACTATTACAATAGCCCCCATTAACAAACATATGTATGTATGTATGTACTTGTAGATATAGTAAAAGGGTAAATCGCACATGGTTGCAATGATAGTAAAAATGCATAATAGAATTTTTATTCAGGACTTACCCTCAAAACCAGCAGAAAATCCACGAAATCCTCTACTCGCATGGCGATTGACATAATTGATGAGCATTCGACTGGAGCTGCTCTTAACCGTTTCCTCCGTGACATTGCCACATAGTCGCTTAATAACAGGAGATTTGTACCAATAACCATCGCGTATTTCTAAATAATCCACAGAACAGTCAGTGGACTTCAGTAGATGCTACAAAAAATAGAACACATTGTAATATAAGTTGAGTATGATATGCAAAGTATGCATATGTACATATATAGGTATGTGCTCATAATTAACACCTTAGCCGTTAATCGAGGTCAGTATTACTGATGCTATTGCTTACCACTTGGTGAATTTGCAAAATAATTCGCTCCCCATTTGTTGCTGTAATACGCCATTCGCATTTCTCAAGAGATTTCTCAAAATCACTGACCTCGTAATCACCGCTGCCACTATCTTCAATTATATTACTGACCTGTATGGCCGAAAATTGTGAGTATTCATAATGTGGTGAAATTATCTCTCCAGAATATTCTTGAAATGTTCGCCCGCAAGTGCTGCATTTATACAATCTATTCGCCTTGGTTATATCCCCTGGACTCAAACGCAATCTTTGACCGATCTCAATGTGTTGGGTCTTCGATAAGCCTATCGGCTGTATTGTTTCCAAATAAATATTCTTGGCAAAAGTATTTTTTGCGTAATGCATGATTGAATTATAGTCATATGGCAGACCGAGGGAGTCAACATCTTCCGGTGAGAGTACATCAAAATTATATTCCTGCCCCTTCATGATATTCTCCTTATTGATGGTTATATGCTTATCTCGGTCGGTGCGCGTGTGTTCATGCCAAAAACCTATAACATGTCCTAATTCATGCACGACAATTCCAAATTTCTCACAGTTGCGACCGATCGAAATCGCCTGACGACCGGAACCACGCTTGCCCACGAACGAACAACAACCACAATTCTTAACCGTAAAATGTATGTAATTGGGATGTATTTTCGGATCACGTTCTACAAATTTAATGCAAGTGGAATTCTCCCAATGACGCATGGCTCTCATGAAGAGCGCTTTGTGCACCCCGCTGAATATCTCATCGATGGTATATGGTATGACCCCATAATCCCATATGCGTTCCTTTTTAGCGGTAACTGCACGCCGCGATCGCGACTCTAAATTTAAAAATGTAGTATTTCTGATCTGGTTGAATGAGTCTATATTTGGATTTTGCTTAGCATTAGATTTGATCTTGTAGTGCCTGTGAGAAAAGTAATATTGAGTTATTTGTTACAATCAATAATACACGATTGTAGAGGCTTACAGAACTTGTTTACCTGCTTTTCGCTTTATTGGGAGATTGAAAAATACGTCGGTTGTGAAGCTTCTTTTGATAGACCGGTATCCTTTTGCCTTTTAGCTGTTTAAATAATCGCCTACAAGAAATATGAGTGATAAATATATTAAATAGGAATACATACATATATATCGATGGCTTCGTCCCCTAAATGGTTCGATATATATTTTCCAAACTGTAGAAGCCAACTCAACCAAACTTGAAATTATTCTTTGCAGTTCTTCATACACTGTG